CCTGACCGCATGCAAAAACGCCTTTCTCAAACTTCTTTTCACCCGTGGTTTCGTATACTTGTTTTGTCCTGACTATGTTGTTTAGACATCGCAAGGGTGCGGACATCGAGAGTTCGTCTCATAGAGCTCGATACTCTACATAGTTTGCTGATAACTGCACAGAGGCGGTTAGTCACTGGCGTGTATATAGCGATGCCTTCAACAGTAATGCCTGGGAGCTGAGACGCTTTACGTCTGTGTCCTTCAGGGAAGTCTGCCACCGTTTTCCAATACCAAAAATAGAAAAGTTCAAACGAAGGACTTATCGTTCTGAGTGTAAGTTGTAATAGTTCCACCGAGTTCGGTTGGGTGCAGGTAGTCGTGTTTCTTTTGGCAGATTCCCTGCTACATGATCCTGGTTGTCCGCAGTTTTTGGTGTGTTGAGCCGGTCTGTGTTCCGTCGCGCGAGTGTTGCGTGTGTGTACGCGCTTGATTGTGTTCTGTCCTTATATATAGGTCGTTGCAATGAGCGGGACAGGAAAACAATGTGAAATCACCTGGTGTCGTTCAAAAGGTCATGGAACGGGATTTGACATAGTGTCCTATCCATGTCACGATTATGACGCGTGATTGTGAGACAGATTAAATGGAATAGGAATCCAGACAAGTCTCGTCTTTTCTGGTGATGCACGTTGTGGGTTGTGGAACAAAACAAAGCACGAGGGAGACAGTGGATGCGGATGCACTAATCAGATTGGGCAACCGCTACAAATCCAGCTAAACCTCTCGTTTATGATTGTAGGTGTTCACAAAGGTTCGTACATAAAGTACGGCCGCGTGGAGCCCAACCAAGGGTGTGCAATCTCACGTTGTTTCACTGAGTTTTGTGGAGCTTTAAAACAGTTTTAGAAAGCCACGGCTCATGGTTGAGAAAAAACCTTTGTCGTCAATTATTCTGTCTCCGGATACCGCTTCTTATGGTACGACAAATATCACCCCTTTGCCATACAAATTTGCTTATGGATACTCGATGAAAAATTCGCCCTCCAGTTAACGTGTTTCTCACGGTTTGATGGACAGAGTAGATGGATATAACACGTACCAAGTGTATTACGTTGTAACCTCTGTACGTGGTTTCAGTGAGTTCCTGCACCTTCGGCAAATTCATTGACTAAAAGTGCTGGAATTTTTTCACAAAGAAATACGCAGCACTTATATCCAATTTGGATCATTGGCGTGAAATTCACATGTCACACGTTGGAACTTGACGATTCGCTCATGTTTTTAATATTACGTTACGATAAACTTTGTATACCGAACAAGGAAACACGAAAGAGCGTTAATGTTTTTTGCCTGGCTTTCAGTTTGAGGCATATCGATGGCTGGGGTTGGTCTGAAACCAAGCAAAATAGTAAGAACCAGTTTATTCGCCCGACGAAATTTCAATGGGGCATCATTGGAGCTAGAAGACAAAAGTGAACTCAACCGGAAATGATTGTCACCAGGGCGCTGCTTGAAAAGTGAAAAGG